GCCTAATATTGTGCCGTAAAAATGATGGTAACCACAAAAAGGCCTAAACTGGAAGGTAACCAGACATTGGTTCAGTTTTTTTTTTTATTTTTTTTTTTACCTGTCTTTGACGTTTCTGTCGGCTCCGCCAGAGGAAAGTATTTGGAGCTCTGATGTATTTCAGCAGCATGGAGGTCGTTCCTTCTGCAAACGTTCCAACTTGGATGCAAATCAAATAACCGCCGTTCTGTCAGACCAGCAGAGAGTCAATACCCGTTTATTCCTTTAGTTTTGGATTAAAAATAGACTTTAAACTACTTAAACGGACGTTTATCCCTTTTGTCATGTACAAAAAAACTATTTACGTACTTTTTGGTGTTTTTTGAAGTGTATGGTCATCTGACCATGAATAGTTTTTTTTTTGGAAATGACTAAAACAAGCCCATTGATTTAGTTTAGGGTCTATTTTTCGTATAAAACTAAAGGGATAAATTGCACATGCATATGCAGGTCTGACAGAACATCTTTGTTCGTCTGGATTGTTGGAGCCTTTTGTCGTGCATGAACTCTGTGATTGGTCTCCTGAATCACCATGGGAGTTCTTCTCTTCGGGATGAGTTCCATGGATGAATAGTAAATGCTCGGAGCGACAGAGAACCGCCATGATCACCCTCTGTTCACTGATTGATTTTCTCTTTTCAAAGATGGCTTCCTTGACGCCTCTTTCAAACCATCTGAACATTTTGGTCTTTAAATGCGAGGCCTTTGTTTTTTAGCTCCAAATTTACACCTGAATCTTTTTCAGTTACTTAAATGACAAAGACTCCTGGATCAGCGAACGTCTTCAAAAACACCTTCAGATGTAAACCTGTTTACATGATGACTTTACAGCAAAAAACACCAGAACATCCGGTTACAATGAATACGCTTTATTTTCCTTTTACAAAACAAAACAGAAAGGGGGCAAAAATGACTGTCTAGAAATACAGATATACAAGAAACATGATGAGAGGATCAGCAGCTGAATGAACTGAATCATAACGGAAAGAAAAAGGTTTACTACAGGCGGATGTTAAAGCTTCCAACCAATCCTCTGCGGCGCCCTGATTCTGGGGGCCGACGGGGGAACAGGTCTGAGAACGGGGGGAGTTTGGTGCAACGCTGCTGCAGTCGGTTAATATGGCATCAACCAAACATGTAGGTTAGAATGAACGACGCTGTGATATGATTCTCAAGCAGAGCAAAAAGAAAAAGAGAAGATGATGTTGAATGTTTTCTAAAACGATTTGGGAAAGAACTCGCTGCCCGTTTCTGTTCTTATTTAGTGTCTAAGGCACAAGAAACATATGATTATTTATCCAATTAGAGGAGGAGCCTCTAGAAGGAAGGGGGGGGGGGTACTGATTATACTGAAGTGGTTCAGCTGCAGAGGCGGCAGCCGCATTTAAAGCTGCGCTAAAACTAAGGTCTGTTCGAGGGTCGACTCCTGGGGGGCCGATACGGTCTGTCAGAAGATTCCAGATTCATCTTTCAAAATAATGGCACAGAATACATTCGAGTCACGGAGCCAGAAATGTACATAAGGAGATGTTTGTCAGCGACGTTACTGCGGTTCAATCAGCAAAGAGTCGAGAAACGAGCTGAAGGAGGAAAAGAAGAATCTTTCTTCTGTTTTTTATCTTAGGATCGTCATAAATGTCTGCGGAGGAATCATTTCACTTTAGTTCTTTCCTTTCAGGCCTTTCTTGGTAAAATCATTCTGACTCTACAGCTCCACCTGCTGGTGGATCCATCTCAAGCTTCAGCAGGAAAAACTAAATCATGAGGTGAAGAAGTTCAAACACGTGTTTCTGATCCATTTTAAAATGTCAGAACTGACATTTTATTCCCAGAATTCCCTGTTAGGGGAACAATGTTTTGTTTTAAATGTTTTTAGAGAAATCTGGTTTTATCATTGATGCGTTCAAAGCTTTTATTTTTATTCAACATTAAAAACAGGTTGTTAGCGAGAGTCTTTAATTATACGGTAAAATAGATTTTAAAAATTAAAAGCCCGACTTGAAGCCATTGAGGGTCTGATGAGACTGAAATTCAAACATTTTTTTGTGTGTTTTAGTAAATAAACTAACAGATAGAGTCTGGAAACTTAAACATTCTTATTTTTTTCACTCTAATCCAGAGCTGGAAATGAGAAAAAGTGGAATGTCTTCCTTTTTCCACCCGGCGTAGCGTCCTGAACGCGGCGGGACGCTGAGGACGTCCCGTAGAAGAGCGGTAAAGTGAGCTGAAAGTTGGTGGATAAACGTGAAGCACAAACACTGACATATAGTGAGGAGCGACTCTTCATCTCGTTAATCACCCATTTAGTGTTTTCCAGTCAAGCATTTCTTTTCGTTTCAGCTTCCAGATGTTCAGTACATTTTTTTTTTTGTTTTCCAGCATTTAGTTGTTTTTTTTTTTCCAGTTTAAAGGCCGGCGTTTCCTGTTAGGAGCTTTAAAGCAACACATTCCTTCTCTAATGCTGAGATGAAGCAACAGGTCAATCAATCAAACACGTTTCACAGTAAATTACAGTTTTTTTTCCTTTGCGTGTCGAGAGATGTGTCTGCAGAGGGGGGGGGGGGCATGAAGCAGAGAATCTATTCCATGAACTCCTGGTTTCCCCACACCTGATGTGAACACTCGCTTGAACGTGTAAAAAGAAGCACTTTGTACCTTCATGCGATGTTCTCATCGCATGAGAAGACCAGAACCGCCCTGGTGGCGAGTCAAAGGTTCACCGACTAAACCGGGACTGTGGGGACGGTGGGAATGGGGGTGTGGGGCGGGGCTTAGCGAGGAAGGTGGAGGTAAAAGTGGGTTTACTCGGCGTTGAAAGTCTGCGTGTCGTTGAAGTCGTTGGCACGGCTGTCAGCGTCGTCATCAGACATGTCTCCTGAAGCGCCGTCCAGGTTGAGATTGCGGCGTCCGGAACGGTTGGAGGAGAAGCTGCCGACGGGGCCGCCACGCCTGCTCCAACAAACACACACAAATAAAAATCTGATTTTACAAAAACTACAACTTTAAACAGTGGAAGTAGGAAAATCATTCCCAGGGGTTAAAAATGGAAGTCAATCCTGAAAGGATTAGGATTAGTCCTCAGTGGAGAGGATAAACCGAAGGTTTTAAATTAGTTCTGGGTACTAAATCCACTAACAGGTTCTTCTAGTTTCCTGGAACTTTAATGGCAAAAATATAAATTATCAAGTAAAGTTTAAACATCTTAATAAACATGATTCATTCAAAGTAGGTTTAAAACATCTTTTTGATAAATCTTCTAGTTAGAGTGGCTCAGTTATCCTGATCTATCTCTATAGTTCTGCTGCTATAGGCTTAGACTGCTGGAGGACATAGGGACCCCTTTTCATCATTCTGCTTCACTCGTTTCTCTCATTCTGTAGTGTTTGTTAGTTTAGCATAGGGCTGGGAAATTAAGTGGTAAAACTAAATAAAACAATTTTTATGATTATGAAGATTTGAATTTTTGAATCAAAATCTTTTTTTTCTCCCATCAATCAACCTTTAAACCGTCCACAGCTCAGAGCGACTTTAGTTCTTCACTGTTGGTTCTTAGTTGTGTTTTGATAACCGATAATCTCGCTGACTGTAAAATCTCTGAATCCAGACATTCAGTCTTAGATTTTCATTGCTTGTTGTTAAACATGATTTAAAATGTTTTCACAGCCTTTTAAAGCT